TTCTGAGGAGTGGCTGGTGGGTTTGAACCGCCAGCCTTCTGGTTAGCAGTCAAGTGCCTTAGGCACTATGCCACCAGGGCTCCTTCTGAAAAAAGTAGCCATTGAAAATCCTAGGAAGCCTAGTTCGACTCTGGGGTATACAGGGTCTCCACGTATTAGGCGGCAAGGGCTTTTGATTTAACCAGTTAACTGCCACCTCTTCTCACCAGTCTCCACCTCATGAGGTAGATATTGTCACCTTGATCCTTCTGCAAATGAGAAAACTGAGAAAGGCGGTAAGAGCAGGGAAGGGGGGATTCATGCCTAAGCCCAGAGCCAGTCTTGCCGAGGACGAGGTTGTCTGAGTCTTGGGGACCACCGCTCCAAAACACGCTGCTCCCGCCCACAGGACTGTGTTTGAATCCTTACAGGGCAGGGCGCCCTCTGCTGCTTTAGAAATCCAAACCCCGCCCTTAGCGCAAAAGTCTGGCCCCTAAACTGCACAGCTGGTCCCAGATCAAACGTGTTCTTAGAGTTCCGCCTGCTACCCCCAAGCTGCTTCCAGAAACTCAGAAGGATCCTCTCAGGGAGCTAGGAGACAGTGCGCGGGTGGAAGAGCCGGGGTATTGCCCACTCACCCACGTTCGCGTCCTTGGCCAGCTCCTCATAGGAGCCATAAGCCTTGGGGATGTCATGCTTCCGCGCAAACTCCTTCGCCCGGCTCAGGTCGCGAGCCGCCACCGCCACCACCTAGAGGAACGCCAAGGTCAAGATAAGAGGTTGCATTTCGAGGATAAAGGAGCTCTAGTAGCGCTGTGGTTAAGGCATTGGGCTGCTAACCGAGAGGTTAGTGGTTCGAACCCACCAGCCCACCTCCCGGGAGAAAGACGACGCAGTATGCTTCCGCAAAGATTGACAGCCTTGGAAACGCTACGGGGGTCAGTATGAATGCACTCAATGGCCCTGAGTTTGGTCCCCAGGATGGGGCAGGCGTGGGAAGCAGGTGGATGGTGGGGTGGTGATGGCGAAGGCTTGAGGGTTGGAACAAATGCACATCGCTCAAGAGGGAGGGTGTGGCAGGGGGACTGGAGGAGGATGTGGCCACTTGGGTCCTAGGAAGATGAGGAATGGGGACAACGATGATTAAATCACCTAATGTCTAAATTGGGGGAGCTCTGGTAGCATAGTGGCTAAAGCACTTGACTGCTAACCAGAAGGCTGGTGGTTCAAACCCACCAGCCACTCCTCAGAAGGAAGGTTGGGCAATCTACTTCTGTAGTGATACCGCCTCGAAACCCAAGGAGGAGACGCCATGAGTAGGGGGCCGACTTGCAGGCAGTGAGTTTGGTTTGGTTTGGGTTACCAACTTAAAGGGTAGCTGGTTCCAATCTACCCAGAGCTTCAGAAGAAAACCTAGCAAATTACTTCCACAGTATGAATGCACTCAATGGCCCTGAGTTTGGTCCCCAGGATGGGGCAGGCGTGGAAAGCAGGTGGATGGTGGGGTGGTGATGGCGAAGGCTTGAGGGTTGGAACAAATGCACATCGCTCAAGAGGGAGGGTGTGGCAGGGGGACTGGAGGAGGATGTGGCCACTTGGGTCCTAGGAAGATGAGGAATGGGGACAACGATGATTAAATCACCTAATGTCTAAATTGGGGGAGCTCTGGTAGCATAGTGGCTAAAGCACTTGACTGCTAACCAGAAGGCTGGCGGTTCAAACCCACCAGCCACTCCTCGGAAGGAAGGTTGGGCAATCCTACTTCCGTAGTGATACTGCCTCGGAAACCCAAGGAGGGGTCGCTATGAGTCGGGGTCGACTCGACGGCACATAACAACAACAACAACAATGTCTAAATTGCCGCTTCTCACAGACACAGCAGCTCAGATCAAGAGGTCCCAGACCTCAAGAGGCAGAGTAAAAACCAAACCCAACCCACTAACCTGAAGTGACTACACAGCGCCCCTAGAGGACACAGTGGAACTGCCTCGGAGAGTTTCCAAGGCTGTCAATCTTTACGCAAGCCCACTGCCTCATCTTTTTCCCGCGGAGCGGCTGGTGGGTTCCAACCGTCCACCTTTTGGTTACCAGCCAACTGCTTTAACCACTGCGCCTCCAGAGCTCCTCAAGCAGCGAGTATGGAATTAAATATTGGCGACTCTGCGATCTGGAACCCCAAATTAGGGTCCCCGGCCTTCCTCAGACCCAGGAGTCAGCCCCACCTCGCTCTCTCATGCCCAGGACTCCAGGGAGAGGCCAGACCTGGTGCTCGGAGCGAGGCAGCGTCCGTAGCACGGTCGTAAAGTCGCTGGAGATGAGGCCAACGGACACGATGCCCCAGCGGACTGCCATCGCCGCCACCTGGAGTCCCAATGCCTTAGACAGCAGGCTGCTCAGAGGTAATTAAAGACCTGATGCCCCGCCCACCCGGGGCTAGGGTCCTAGACTTCGCTC